TTCAGATTGAGATGTTCAAGGATCTAAATGAGACAGAATTTATTTTCCAAGAAATTTCAAGCCTTAGTTCAGGAGGTTTTACCTTTCCCTTTAAAGGAGGAAATATTGTCTCATCAAAATGGAAATATGCATAATGTGTAGCAAAAAATAGCTCACCCATCAAGGGCTCAAGATATATGATGATGGATGGTGAGTCATAGCCAACTTATATTCCCAAACAACATTGGGGAGGGCGTGCAATTGGAACTTACATAGCACAACCAAAAGTTCTTAAATGGGATATATTAGGCTAATGTCCACATACAAGCTGTATTGGAGAGTACTGATGGTATGCAGTGGGTCTTAGGTGAATTAATGCTTCAGCATGTAAAATAGCATGAGCCCAAGTAGAAGTTGGTAATTGCATACATAATAGCAAAGTTCGTGCAATTAATTGGATACGATTTATAAATGACTCTACCATGCCATTTTGGATAAGTACATGTGGTACTGGATGCTCAACATCAATTCCCATAGCTGTACAATAGTCATCAAATGTCTTTGAGGTAAACTCACCAACATTGTCCAAACGTATTGCTTTAATTGGGTAATCTAGAAAGTGCGCCAGTAATCTGATAATTTGTGTCAGCAATCTAGCAAAGGCAACATTACGGGTTGATAGTAGACAAACATATGACCATCATGCCGATGCGTCAATCAGTGCCATTAATTAGTGGAAAGGTCCACTTGGTGGATGAATAGGTCCACATATGTCCCCATGAATTCTTTGTAAAAATGATAGGGGTTCTAGACCAACTTTAGTGATGGATGGCTTAAGTGCCAATTTGCCTTGTCAGCAAGCAATACAAACATTCTCATTAGGTGATAGAATCTCCAGATTCTTTAATGGGTGCCCATGTGAGTTTTCTATAATCCTATGCATCATAGTAGATCTTGGATGACCAAGACAGTCATGCCAAATCTTAAAAAGTTTAGGATTAGTGTACTTCTCGTTCATAACTACATAGACTTCAACATTCTTCAGGAATGTGTTCTATAACCCTGATGAGAAAGCAAGTAGTTTCTCTAGTACATGATTCTGGCATGAAATATTAGCAATGATACATAGAAACTCTCCATCCTTTTCACTTAAAGTTTCAATATGCTATCCATTGAGTCGTATATCTTTGAAACTAAGCAAAATTCTTCTAGATTTGCTAGAATACAAAACATCATGGATACTTAATTTAGTTATGCTTGGTAACACAAGTTTCACTCTTCCAAAGCCCTCAATTATGTTTGCAGATCCTGATATGGTATTTATTTTAGCCTCAGTAAAGGTCAAACTTGAGAAATATTTTCTATCCCAAAGGATGGTGTGCGTTGTTGCACTGTTTACTATACAAATATCTCCACCATTACTGGATATCGATGTCTTAATTTTGAAGTCCATCCTTAAAAAAAAAAAAAAATTACATTAGTGAGGATGTTTATAAAACTTTATCTTCATGATATGGAACTTCAGGTTCATTCTTTGTCTCTGTTTTACGAACTTCATGTTTGTAATCAGTATTTAGAACTTCAAGTTCTAAAACGATATTTATTTATGGAACCTCAAGTTCATTTATCGTATATAAGATGGAATTATTAACATTGGTTATCGAAAATATAATAAAAGCAGATCCAACTAGAAAGGTTGTATTCAACAAGAATAAACAGATCCGACCATGAAGGCGATATTCAACAATAATAAATAGATCCATCCATACAGGTGAAATTTAACAATAATAAATAGATCCGACCATAAAGGCGGAATTTAACAATAATAAGCAGATCCGACCATAAAAGCAGAATTTAACAATAATAAGTATGTCCGACCATAAAGGCAGAATTTAACAATAATAAGTAGATCAGACCATAAAGGCAGAATTTAAAAATAATAAATAAATCTAGCCATAAAGGCAGAAACAGAGATTAAAGAACACATGTAGGATTGAAGTACTTAGTTTCAATGAGGGTACAATGTTACATTTGTTAAGCTCTTCATGCTGATAACGTGTTGTATAATAATTAACTCAGATAAGAGAATAAATTAACAAATAAGAGAGAGAAGAAATAAAGCAAGAGAATTGAGAACTATGGGACTTAATTGATATTACTTAAAGCCTCTCAAACTTTTTGACCACCCCACCGCCTTGAACTCCCTTCCCTTGTTTGATCGCCTTACCGCCTCAAAGTTCAAGGCGGTGGAGTCCACCATATTTTACAACAAAATTAATCACAAATTATGACACGTTGAATAATTCATTGGGACCACCAATTCTGATCTACAATATGTGTGGTATTCATATTTGTCAAACTTATGAGTTGCGTGTGTACACATCAATTCTGCGTGCACACAGTTTGCTAAACTTTTGTCTTGGCTTGGTTCGTTTCGAGTGTGTGTGTACAACAGTTTGTGTATACACTATCACTTCAGATATTTGCAACCCAGCATAAGTTGCATGTCTGAGAAAAAGATGTTGGTTATCTTTGTCTCTCGCTTTTTAGGACCTTTTAACATATGTCACAATATGCTTAGGTGATCCTAGGGAATAAAGTTATCTTTCCCAATTTATTTTGTGGTCCAAACAAAAGGAATATTTTCCTTATTTGGACAAACATGGTTCAGCCCCTTGTTGGGTGATGTGGCACTATATTGTTGAGCAAGAAACCTTTCATGATATAATACTCTTTCTTGCATGAATGAGTCTAACCTTTTGATTTTTTTTTTCATTCTTACTCTGAATTTCTTAGAGTATTCTTTCTCTTAAGGTTCAAGGTTCATTTTCCATTTTGTGCCAAAACCTCACCATATCAAACATAGACTTGATGGCTCTTGGAATGTGGTTCCTTTGATAATGCTGGTGTGTGGCGTCATTGCTTGAAGCTTGGTGTTTCACAAGCTATTCTTAGGTGTATTCCCGGTGTGAAAAAGATCCGAAGAAGTTGCTACACTTTAAGGATTCAGAGTGTGGTGCTAAGTATAAAGTTAAATAGTGAGTTCTTTTTACTGTAACTTAGATCAACTTTGAACGTTATCTTCTAATGTATTTTTAACTTAGTAGATTGCTTCGATCTAGACAAGGTCCCATGGATATAGGCTAAAAGTGGATTTAGCCAAACCCTGTATATGGTTGTGTTCTTTACTTTCTACACTTGTGTTTAATGTGGTTAAAAACCGGAAATATCTTAATCTACTTGATAAATATTCCGCGGCACTTTAAAAGGGTAATCAAAGACCAAAGTGGGGTTTAACCAATCCCCAACAATATGTCCTGTCATGTTAAGATTAATCTGATTCACAAACTTTTGTTTTGTTTAATTATCGTACTACACAAATGTCCAAATACAGTCTCAATATAATAATAATAATTCAATTGAATTATTGGGCGGCAACATGTTACATGAATTTTTTAAGTCATACCTCTAACAACATTTTTGTTGCTATGGTTTGCATCACAAGGGATATAAATTTTCCAACTCAGGTTCATAGATGATTGACTTAAAATGCATAAATGATTTGATGAGTCTTATTTTTCTTTTGCTCGTGTCTTGATTGCCAGTAAATATGATACAGTTGGGGCTATATCATAGATGATTGACTTAAAATGCATAAATTATTTGCTTTTTTCTAGAACACACAGATTTCCACATTCCTTGATTAATTTGGTTCACTTAAAGAACGTAAGCCTAAAGCATCATACTTATAATTTCAGTGTGCATATATAATTCTTTTAACCGTTAAGAACTCTTTTTGATTGCCAGTTCATGGTACTTCCACTCTTCATTAATTTACTGAAGAAATGATATTTAGATTAATAAAAAAAGATCGTTTCAATTGATTATATGGAATAATATTGAATACTTTGATTATAATTAGTTTAGAAGGTTTAATAGTTTTCCTTAATTTCCACTCTTCGACCTTCTTAACTCATCCGAATCCAAAATCCTAACGGATTTCCTTCAAAGTGTTTAAATCTTCATTTCTTCAATGTAAACTGGGATACTTCTCATTCATTCAATTTAAAATGCATAAATGATTTGCTGTTTTCTCGAATACACTGATTTCCACATTCCTTGATTAATTTGACGTTTTGGTCCTTTAATTTGACGTTTGGTAAGGGGGGCATTCCTTGGTTTGAATGTGCATGGTACTTCCCATCTTCATTTCAATGCGCATATATAATTCATTTAGCTGTTAAGAACTCTTTTGATTACCCGTCCATGGTACTTCCAATCTTCATTAATTTACTAAAGAAATGATATGTAGATTAATAAAAAAGATCGTTTCAATTGGTTATATGGAATAATAATGAATACTTTGATTATAAGTAGTTTTGAAGGTTTAATAGTTTTTAGCTTTTTAATTTACATGAAACCGTTTGTCAGGGAACTGTACTTAACACTATTACTTGTGTTAGGATTTTACCCACGTTAAAAGGATTCAAATTGATGAATGTGTTACAGCTGAAAAGTCAACAAAACCAAAGCATACATGATAAATAAGTAAATGAATTATTATTAAGAATCTCTGGGAACAACTATTTTAAGCTGCCATTTATTAAACGTGAACTTTGATACTTCTCACCAATTCAAAATTTTTCTAAGCTATGGGGAAGTTTGTTTAATATTGTGATAAGTATACTGTATAATTACAAGTTCATATTTTGAAAGACAAACATATTACTTCACGATGTAGGTTAGAGAGATGTTTAGGATTTAGTTACTACGCAAGCATATGTGGCTCATCATACGATAGTAAAATCATGACTTCTTAAGTCCTAGAGTTGGCAAGATGGATGACGTGGGGGCGAGGTTTTAATATGTCACATCGTTTCGTTGGAGGGTTTTAGCTAGGTTTCATTAAAGTCATATTCTTTTTTTATTCGTTATTAATGATTACCTAGTACTTGACATTGACAGTAACATACGGTGTGTATAAATAAAGAGAGGCATTGGGAGTGCAACTACAACCTCATACAAGTCATTCCATCTAACACTTGACCTGAATAACCTTCCTAAATCAAAATGGCTCTTTATTGTCAGCTTACTTCACCGCCTTCATTAACTTTTAAAAGATTGCCGCCTTTAAACAGCTCCTTAGTTGGATCATCCAGCAACATCGTTGGTCGAGCTGGTAGATCAGTACTCAAATGTATAGCTGCAACCAAAACGTCCGATGAAACCATTGTTAGACGATCAGCCAATTACCCACCTTCCATTTGGTCCCATGATTATGTTCAATCACTTACCAGTAACTATGTGGTATATTTCTGTTGTCAATTGACTTTTATTGCTTATACTTATAGAAGCATATAGTTCGCATAAGTATTTATAAGTTATTAAAATTAATTAGTTCTGAAATATGCAGGGCGAACCATTTACCAAACGGGTTGAAAAGCTCAAGGAAGAAGTTAGGCTGATTCTTAATTCGGTGGATCCTTTAAATCAACTAGAGCTGATCGATGACTTGGAAAGGCTTGGAGTATCTTATCACTTTCAGGATGAAATAAGGAAAATCCTAAATAAGATACACAACAATAATTCCAGCAACTATAAACAAAGGAAAGAAAGTTTACATGCAGTAACTCTTGAATTCAGACTTTTAAGACAATATGGCTATGATATACCGACAGGTACATAATATATATCTATAACATACACAAAAATTTGCGATTTGTATTCATTTACACACAATTTTTCTACCAAATTATATAAAATATATTGGATACATGAGATTCTTTTACAGTGCAACATGATGGAAAAAGTAATTCATTTCACTTTCATTCTTTCATCCTTTCTCCAGAAATTTTCGACAATTTCAGGGATGAGAAAGGAAACTTTAGGCCATGCCTCAAAGATGATTGCAGAGGTATTTTATCTATGTATGAAGCTGCTTTTCTTTTGAAAGGAGAGAATGTCATCTTTGATGATGTTAGAAATTTCACAACCTCCTACCTCAAGGAATATGTGAAAGAAAACAAAGATCAATATCTTTCCACTGTAGTGAGCCATGAGTTGGAGCTTCCACGGTATTGGAGGTTGCCAAGATTGGAGGCAAGGTGGTTCATTGATGTATATGAGACAAGACCTGACATGTCTGGAATCGTCAATGCTTTGATTACGACTATGGATGATGTGTATGATGTTTATGGCACTTTGGACGAACTTGAAACCTTAACCGAAGCCGTTGACAGGTTTGTGGCAGGCCATGCAAGTTTCGATCGATACACATAGTTATTTAATTTCGTACATAGCTATTCCCAACATGGAATTTTTATATATAATTTGTGTTGTTATTTAGATGGGATGTCAACAAAATTGACCAACTTCCACACTATATGAAGATATTTTTTCTTGCTCTCTACAATTTTGTCAACGAATTGGGTTTTGATGCTGTCAAAGAACACACAATTGACAGCATTCCTTATCTAAAGAAATCGGTAATTAATTTAATCTATTTATATAGAATATATTATGAACATAATTTTATAATGTTGTAGATTTATGTGCGATTCATTATGATTGATATCATTATAAATTTTTTTCAGTGGACAGATTTATGCAAAGTCTATTTATTGGAGGCAAAGTGGTATAAGAATGGTTACACACCAACCCTCAAAGAATACATTGACAATGCATGGATTTCTATAGCAGCATCTGTGATATTAATTCATGCATATTTTTTAAGCACAAATCCATTACCAAAGGAGCCCATGAAATACTTGGAAGAATATAGGGATATAATTAAGTGGTCATCAATCATTTTACGATTGGCAAACGACATGGGGACGTCATCTGTAAGCTTTATATATATACTTTTCTTTTATAAAATAGGATACTTTTTTGACATGAGCTCACATATTAATCTATTTATTATTAAGAGTTATTTGTTTATTATATATCTTTTTGTGTAACTGTCAATCATAAATTTGTCCTCTTAGTAAAAAATCATAGATCCGAAGAGGAGTTAATAAACTCTAATTGATTATAAAATATTTTTACTGCTTCTTGATTATTTGATAAAATATTTGCTTCTATGTTTTTTTTTTTTTTTATTTTATTTTATTTAGTATGAAATAGCAAGAGGGGATACTCCTAAATCTATCAACTGTTACATGCATGAAACTGGAGCGTCTGAAGAAAAGGCTCGTGAACACATACAGAAAATGATTGTTGCAACGTGGATGAAGATGAACAGAGATCGGCTTGGAAACCCTCATTTTCCAGAAACTTTTGTTACAACTGCGATGAACCTAGGCAGGGCGGCCCAGTGTGTGTACCAATATGGAGATGGGCATGCTATTCAAGAGTCGTTTAAAGATCGCATAATGTCATTATTTTTTTATCCCATTCCATTAATGAATGGAGATGATTACAAGAAATGATGAAAGTTGAGACAACTTTCTTCGTCTTTTATTTTCAACATAAGAGAATAAAAATGTATTGCTTTCTTTTTTTCATATTCCTTATTTTTAACTATGTGAGGGGTCTTCATAATAATTCTACCCATAAAATGACTACTACGACATTGTTGCATCCTAAAAGATATGTTCTAACATTGTGGGGTGTCGGAAAAAGGCTTATATTCCGACAACAAAGCCAACATCGAAATAGCCTATCTCACATTAGTTATAAATTCCGATAGTTTAAGCAATACAATAAAATGTTAGGCACAATAAAATTGAATCATATATATCCCCTTAATAGATGTCCAAAGTTAGGCAGCCCACTAAATATGTCATTGACATAAATCATATATATCCTCTTAAAATATGTCCAAAGTTAGGTAGCCCTCTAAATATTCTTAAGAAGAATGGGATATATCATACAATATTCTTAAGAAGAATTTAGATAACAAATTTATTCCACAAAGAATCAAGTGATTCTATTAATCCCAAATTATTCTTCATCGTATACAATAATACAACTACAAAACCAAAAAAGGAAAAGAGAATCAACCTGCAATTTGGCGAAGGACAATTTTGCCAGGGAAGTTGAACTGGGATCGATTTAAATCTTCTTTAGACTTTAGTAGAGTGAAGAAGAAGATTGAAAATGGAATTTCAAGGGTACAGATGCAGGGAGATTGAAGATGCGAATACGATTCAAAGTTTCAAACTCTGCATAGCTAAGAAAGAAAATATCCCAATTGAAATGAAGAATGAAGATGCAAATTTGGGAATGGGTTTTTTTTAGGGTTTAGATATGCAAATAATTAGTGACCTAGTTTGGGTCACAAACCAGTCGAACCAGTGGTTTTGGGACTATTTTGCCAATCCGACCACAGTCCAAAGCGATTTTTAATCTATTAACGAGTTTAACATTGATAAGGACCAGATTGCGGCCGGTTTCTAGTCGAGCCAACTGGTTTGGTCTTGGTTTCAAAACAGTGATATTATCAATGTGTGATTTTTTAAACGTACATATTCTAGTGTGATGCAATATCCACATGGTTTATTGTAAAATAAAGATGCAATGCACATAAAATGTCTGATGCATATGCAAATGATTATGTTTGTATTCTTTTTGAAAATTCTTTTCTAATTCTTTTCTTTTCTGTTTGAAATTCTTTCTGTTTTTCGTTTCTTATTCTATTTTTCTTTCTTTCTGAAACTCTTTCTGTTTTCTGTTCTGGTTTGCCGATAGGACTAGGCTGAGGCATGGATTTGGAACCCTAGTCGTGTGAGCGTATTCTGAAATTCTTTCTAGGTACAGTCATCATCCACATGTACTTCTAGCAGAATGTACAATTCTGTTTTCTCTTTTGAGGTCTCTCACTGATGACAGGATGCATGTAGGAAACTTCTGCATCTCTGTCGCCACTAGCTAACGCAACGAATGCTCACAGGTTCCCCATCGCAACAGCCCTCTGAAAACACGCTTTGTAAATCTACAAAATAACTAGCTAGACATTTCCTATAATTATAAAATTTCTTAAATATATGCTATGCTATGCTATGTCATGCATTTATATGTTGTCTATGCATAATCCCAAAATACGTGTCTGATTCTGGCATGTACTCTATTAATTCTAAGGCTTTTATTTCTATACTTTTCTGGAAAGCCCAAAGTTCTATTCTAATGACACGATTAAATTAAACATTTTCTATTTTATTCTTCATTTCTGAATTCTATGCATCGTGTGTACGTGCGCGATTCTATAATTTCTACATAATTCTGTAATTCTTCAATTCTATCATGCTATGTAAAATGTACACGTACACAAGTACATTAGCTCTCACAAATTCTACTCTTCTATAATTCTATTAGTGGGATATTAAAACGACACAATTCAACTAGGGAGTGAATTCTACATTTTGGACAATCTAATTTCTCCTATTAAAATCTATGCCACAACTTAGGTATTAAGTCTACTAACTTGCCCAATTATGCTACTAGTTTTTCTCAAATTTATATCTCACATAACCATGTCATTAAACAACTCTCTAATATTTTTCTAATGTAACAAACATGTCTCATACAACTTTCTAAATACAAATCTTAATGCCATAAATTTGTATTCTCTTACATGACCATCAACTTCAATTGTTATACATGCCCTTCTTTCTTCTTTTCTTTTGGCTACATTCTATAAATTAATCTATATTGCCATATTAAGCATTGTAGATTCAATCTAACATATGGCACCACATATATACTTTGGCTAAATTCTGATTTCTTTCTAACATTCTTAACTAAACTTTTGGCCAATACAACCTATTCTCAAGATCTTCTAGCACAATTCTATAACTTGTAATATATAATAAGGCATGAAAACTATACTCATACTATTGGAGTGAAGACTAAAAACGCTACCACTTTACAGTTAAATGAAACGTAGAGTTTTGGCCTGAGTCATTTGTGCATCCTGTCCATCCAATCTGCAGAAATCCAACGGCTGAGGCATTTCACAGAGTCAACAGTATAAAAGAGGGAATTGTTCACTATACATCAGATCTGAATTTTTTGCGTTTTTCTGCAGTTTGCGTTATCAGTTCTTCTTGGTTTTTTCTGCATTTTTAGAATCATTGTAACTAGGTAGATTGATTAGTGAATGATAGTTAATCTGAGGGTAGTTTTACTCTTGTGGCTTGAGGATTCCAGGTGAGAGTTCTTGGGTGAGTTACGGGTTGATTCTTGGTTAGAAATAGAGAGGGTTTGATCTGGTTGTGTTGGATCTTGTACTGTATTGATATTATTCAGATTAGTAGTGCTGTGAGCTCTCCATTTTCGGAGCTCAACGTGGACGTAGATTATCCAAATAGGATAATCGAACCACGGTAAAAATCTTGCATTTCTTGTGTGGATGTTTTGTGTAATCTGTGTGGAGTTGAAATCTGGTTTATGTTTGTGTTTGTTGGCTCAGTATTACAGTGGTATCAGAGCTATTAGACAATAGGCTTGATCGATTTGGAGACTGTTCGGTGATTTAAGTTTCTGAAAAATTAGGGTTTGTCTAAAATTTGGGGGTTTTTCAAATTAAGGCTTCCCTTAGCAATCTTGAGTCCTAGTTTACAGATTCGAGTGGTAAATTCACTGATTGAGGAAATCTTGGTGAAGATTCAGGTTTGAGTCTTAGTAATTCGTTCAAGATTTACATTGTTAGTTCGATCTAAGGTTTCTTGAGTCAGTATCAAATTGTTCAAACACAAAGATGTCAACTACACGATTAGAAATCACTCAGTATGATGGCAAGATAGATTTGGGGAGTTGGAAAAAGAAAATGAATGCACTGTTGTCCAACAACAAGGTGGGAATTGCCCTGGAGAAAGACGAAACCAAATGGCCAGAAGAGAAGCTGAAGAAGAAGGATGAAATCAATGAGGAAGCATACAACCTCATAGTGATGAATCTGTCAGACAACGTACTACGGAAGGTAGATGGGCTAGAATCACCTCTAGTCCTATTGGGTAAACTCGAAACTTTGTATTCTTTACAGTCAGCACCTAACCTTGCATTTTTAAAGGGTGCTTTATTTTCGTACAAAATGGATGGTTCTAAATCTGTTGAGGATAATTTAGATGAATTCCTTAAGATGACTTTAATTCTTAAAGGTACTGATCAGGAACTAGGTGACACTAGTTTAGCAATGATCCTAT